GTAAAGGGCTACCGGTTGCGGGTTGGCCAGTGTACACCATAAACAACGCTTCCTGTTTTACTTCAATGTTATTTATGGTAATGATGATGACAGAGGTGACAAGAAGATACTGTAATAATGCATATTTTACTCGAGTAACTAGAATAAAGCAGTTTTGTTTACGGTTGAGACGTACTAGTGAACGAGCTGCAGCCGCTGTGTGTTAGCATTCTGCCAGAATCGATAGGAACCTGCAATAGAACGAAGTCAACTTCATGAATGACTATAGAGAAAGCCTGAGATCACTTTTACCGCTGACAGACGACTTTTTATCTTTTTTGTAACCTTTTGTTGTATGAAAAGGTAGTTAATAATACTATTCGGGCGAAAATTTAGCCATTCAATTCCACTTTTTCCGAAACGGGACCCAATCGGCATATTCTCCAAGACAGCTCAGTTCCCCAGATAAATCTTATACATACGAGCAACTTTCCGGAGGGAAGACGTTATTTGCTCGAGCAAAGTCTGATCCTACTGGTGATGTTAGTGGCAAACGCCACCTTTGCCACTGCGCTCTTCTAAAAGACCAAACTCTTCTCGGAAGAAACAAAATTTAGTCCACTAAGAACCCGGCTGGTATTTAAGGGCTGCCCTCAAAGCATTAAATTATTTAACCCTTCCTTTCCTTCTTGGGAATCCCACTCTGCTTTTGCTCTCTCCCTCTTCTTGAATGCTTTGTTCCGGCTTGTTGTCCCTTTTTTTGTTGGCCGTTCTTCTTTGGCGGTTTTCCAGGGCAGTCTGCTCGGAAAAGGCGAGCTCGGATCCTGCCTCTGATAAGCGTTTTGCCCATACTTCGCCCTCATGGTAAGGTTTGTCCTGGATCATTCATTAGCATAACCCGCAGTAGAGGTGAAGCAGTGGCAAAGGACGCTGTAGGGGTATACCACTGAAATAAGTTCCCAGATCCTACTCTGCCCTAATTAATCTATCCTTCTTGTGCCTGATACTTCGCTATTCGTGATGATCCTACCAGATGGTATCCAAGTGCTACCGTACACTTCAAAAAATGTCATAATCTTCTCTTGACGTATCATTGCTGGGTTACTTTACGTGCAAGTATACTATTTATTTGTTTACTTATCAACCATTTTGTTTATACATTTAGAAGACTATGTCATTATAGCGTTCTAAGGCTGAGATCGAGGCTAACCATGTCATTTGAGTAAAAGTAACCAATTATATACTGCTATTAGGTGAACAATCATTTATGTTTGACATCTGTCCTTACATCATCTCACGATTCAAAGAAGAATCACCGTCCGGTTCCTGTTTACAACCAAACATGGTGGTCACGGCTAAGGTTCGCATCAATACTTTTTAGAGCAGGTGTACCTTGATTTTCGCGGTCTTCGCTCACCTTGTCCAAAGAGTATCATCACTAGATTGTAGTTATATCTCTATGATTTGGACCACCCTTATCGTTTCGCTCACTTACCGAAGGTCAAAGTCCGATTCGGTTTGGCAAACCACCTTGGGAGATATTACATTTCCAGTTCCCAAGCCTTCCGGTAGACCACTATGGGCTCCCAAAACAATTTATCATCTTTTTTGTTCAGATTTTCTATATTCTTATATAAAACCTGAAGAACAGAGCACGTCCATATTCCATTTATCATTTGAACTTTGGAGTAATCATAGCCAGGTCATCATCCCTAGTTGGTAGACCGTCCCAGGATGAAGAATGAGGAAATTAAATGACAGCTTTAAGGATACAAGGATAAGTTTTGACGATAACCCATCCCGATTTTGGGCTACGCCTCGTATTCGACTTTCATTCAGAATCGTAGTGGCATTTGAATGCGCATGCTGTCTGTACAATGACTTGTGGTGGCCAGCCGATATACAAGTCATCTTCATAGATGAATACGGTACCAAGTAAGTGACCCAGAAAGGATGGCAGACCTGGTTGGCCGAGTGAGTATCGAGCCGGGATTGATCCTTGGACCATGCATGTGTGATAGTGCGTCACTTGCCACTACACCATCTCCGTCCTTCGACTGAAAATTAATTCAGATTAAGTCTGGAATTTCGAAAAAAAAAACTAAAAATATGCTAGGTTTGTTTGCTTTACCCCCAACGATCTACTACGTTTTACATGAACGCTCAAAGCTCGTCAGTGACGAAAGCCTGGCGAAAAAATGAATATATCTATTTATTTATTTATTTATTTATTTATGTAAATCAAGTCGAGTCAATCGAGTCATTGAAATGTTCAATGGTTTCAGTATGGCATGAAGAGGATGCAGAGAAATAAAAAGATCAGAAAAACGTTACAGTTCTGGAACAGAGCGAGTAGATAATAAATATTTGAACATTAAGGGCGAGACAGAAATAGGCCGATGACTTGCGTAATTTACGAATGCCTGATCATTACAGGAAATGATTACTACTGTCTCAAACCTATTACGTTCTGGTTTCGTTCAGACGCTTGGAAAGCGTTTATTGGGGCCGTGACGAGGTAGCTACAAAGCAGTCCAATCCGGGTCGGATTCGAGCGATCGAAATTGGTTCAGACCACCAAACATTTTATCCTTTTGGGGTCGAGTGATTGATACCATACCCGTTTGGGACGATAAAAGCACTGGCTCATACATTGGCTAGTCACTGCAAGTCATGTATAGGCACTCGAAGTCATTGTATGCATACTCAAAACGGTATCACGATTCTAAATAGAAGTCGAATATAGGGCGCATCCCAAAATCGGGCTTGTTTAACACCAGCCTTATTCATCATCTGGCCTTATAGATGCACTTCGACAGCAAATTCGGGATGACACCGTTGACGGCAAAATATCAGTAAAAGGATTTGCTGTTGCGAATCGGTTCAGCTCGGTCATCATCAAAAACAAATGCTGGGAGAGATTTGCCGACTTTTATGAAAGAAACAATGAACTTGGACATTACACTCACTTACTTAACAATATACTCAGTAATCATCGAATACAACCCCCCGAAGACAAATAGTCTTCAACCATCAAGGGAGCCGTGAAGTATTACCACCAAAATTAATATTCCCACCAATTCAGTTATGCACAGAGGATTCGCACAGCTACACTCTCTACTAGAACGTTGCTACGGCGTCCCTGCATCTTGTAGAGCCCGGTGGTCCATATGGTGCTCTCAAAGCGATTAACTACAGAGAAATCCTATTCCCGAAACAACTCCGACGAGACGTTGACTGTGGGCGGCCCTCTGGGAATAACCGCTCTAAGCTGCGCTGTTGTAGACATGGCTAGGACAAATATCTTATCGACTATTTGGATATGATAACAACAACATAGGGGTGGAGGTGGTGCAGTGGCAAGTGCACACACGCCTGGCCAAGGACTCGAATCCCCGATCGGAAATCCGCCTAGGCTAGCCAGGCCTTCCATCCCTACGAGTTCCTAGTTGTTACCAGACTCGTCTGGGAGGATAAAAACGCTGACTTGAACATCGGCTGGCCACCGTAAGTCAATGTATAGGCCACATACGTATTCAATATGCCACTACGATTCTGAATGAAAACGGAATTCGTGGGCGCATCCATCTGACGTGATTAACGTCCCTACACATTAGACTTTTAACAACAACATAATAGCCACCGTCCACTCTTAATTCTCCATCGCAACTACGAAGTTAATTAGTATTAAAGCACATAATCACCTGCTCATCAGAATTTAAGTAATAATTAAATCGAAGAGACGAATAATAAAAAAAATGCAAAGGAAGATGACATACCTCTCCTGAACCTTCCCTAACGTCGGCTGTGAATCTGGTCCATCGGTTGACGACGGTGACGTGGACATCTTGTAGCTCGTACGAAAAAATACATGCGCGGAACTGAAACGGACGGAACGCAACTGATTCGGATTTGTTGCACTTCTCGAAGGGTAGACCATGTCTGACAGTCCTTATAGCGCGACCAAGTGCGCCATTTAAAGCAGTGGTGAGCATGTGGCATGACGACTTCCCTCTTCGATTCTACCAGGGTAACACATCTGGCGCATAATCTGAAAGAGAAGGGAACCTATGCAGGCATTCTCATGAAAGCGGTGCCTATTCGACCGAGAATTAAAATGACATTCGTCACAAAAAGGTTGTTACTTTCCTGTTTTTCTCCCTGGTGTTAATCCCTTCACAGGGTCCGCTGTTCTTGTCTGTCGTCTCCACTCACTCCTATCTACGGCATCCTCTGTCGTTACCTTAGCTTTGGCGCGGTCCTACTTGATCACGTTTTCCTTTTTGGGACTCCTCACGGCCGCTTTCTTAGAGTCTCGAACTCCATTGCCTCCCTTATTCGGATGATTCTGGGGTATTCTGCTCTCTCATCTTCAAGAGGACAGGGGCTAAGGAGGTTGTTATTGGGTGATTCCTACAAAACTCGCATTACAAACGAAAAAAGCAAAAACGTAAATTGAAAATATAGCATCTGGCTTACAAATATACACGAAATATTTTATATGAAAATCCAACCCGAGATCAAACATCAATATTGTCCCATTGAAATACACATCATGAATGGATAGATGCTGTGTAATTAATAGAAGAAGTAAAAGCGAAATGTACAATGTAAATCACATGGAGGGAAAGGACGATACGCAGTGGCTTTTGAAGACGTACTCAATGGTAGGTCTAGCAGGAAAAGACATTTTCCTACTACTTGTCGCAGTTAATTACTAGTATACCATTCCTATCTCGACCTATATAAAGCAAGCAAGAACCGGTGAAAAAAACATAGCTGGCTGAAAAGTATTGACGCAATGCTTGGGTTAAGACTAAACCCGGCGAAACTCATGTGTAAAAACTTGAAAAGGTGCATTTTGAAGAAGCTGCTTGAATACTACTAGGTATATTTTTGTTTTGCCAAAAAGAGAAAGAAAAGGGAAATGATCCCGTGAGATGCAATTCCGATAAACCGTCTTTTATGTGCGCCAGTACTTTCCAGCCATTACATACAATTTTGATATTTCTCAGAAAAACCTAGGCGTCACTGCCAGATTCATGATCTTCTACGATGACTAGCTTCTTCCTAGTCAAAGATCTCCTACGACGGAGTCTCTTTGGTTTTTCCTCTACCACCACATCTTCCTCTTGAACTGTAAACAGAATGGTCGTCAACAAATGACTAACTAGAGGATTCGATCAAATCTGACAAAACTATACCTTCCATAAACTGTTCGATAACTTGCGGTTTCCTTTGACGAGTAGTTGCGCCACTTCCAGGTCGTCGACCGCGGCCCTAAATGAGGCCTTATGAGAAGGACGACCCGTTTAACCGGGCAGCATATTCCCATTTCGAAATTGAATCGTCCTCAATTAAAGTCCCAAATATAACAGGCTGCGTAGCGATAAAAATAGGCTTTACTACACAACGGGAAGTTTATCCAGGTCTAAGCCGTTAAAATAAAATCCGATAGAAAATGCCAAAACCTTTTAGCCAGCAACCCTGAAAGCCATTGAACCTGGAGTAATCATAAAATGATATAATACCCTTTTCACTGGGAGTGGCGCATTTGTAGTAGAAGCAGGTTCTGCCTCATTCCTCTGTTGCACTGCATCATATAAAACTTCTTCAACATAGTCGTCGGCTGGCTCTTCTTTCACTTCCACGACATCTTAAAAATGTTGTTACCAGACAGAGACTCCGTAAAATCTTAAGTTTAGAACTGACCTGGAATTGCTCTCAGCGCATTTTTCAAGGATATGTCATCTTCAACGATTTCCGTTATAACCACAGATGATTGTTGAACTGCCGGGTACAGGCGACCACGAGAATCCCCCTGAAGCTGCACATGAAGCCAAGTAATGAGAAAAGAAGGTGTGAAAGATTTATTGTCCCACTTCTGCCAACGATTGTGCTCGAAGATTCTTTGCCACTGTAAGGAGTGCCGTACCAGCCTAAACTAGATACATCTAAGGAACAATAGGCATCTGTGGCCTTTGATTTTTGGAAATTAGGTGAAAATAAGTAAAGAAGACAGGTTAACCGTTACCGAAATCGCCATGTCAGGTCCCTGATTAACAATTCTAGAGATAAAGTTCTCAATGTAAACGTCCATTTTCTTTTCATGACGATGAATGAATGGTGCCAGAACCTGTCGAATATAAAACTTGAATGTGGAACCTAATCCTAAGATACCGCTTAAACTTCTCTCACCTTGTCGAAAACAAATTGAGCTCCAGCAGTTTGTGGACATACAGCCCATATTAAGAATAGCAGCTTGCCGAATTCGTAGAAAGGTATAAAATAGTGGATAAACAGTGAGCTGAGTATAACGTCTATACCGAGAAATGATCCGAACACAGCCCAGTATTTCGACCAGTACGACTGAAATATTTCATTCACTAAATGTCACAGAGATTAGGAAGTTAGACCGCTTCAGAATTTTGAAATGCTGCGCATCTAATAGCCTGGAACGCGGGACAGATGGCAGATGCATCTATGTGTAGAAGCGGTGTTTACTAGATTACCTCATGCTAATGTAATCTAGAGCCGAACTGATGTTTCGTACAAAAGGTGAAGGAACGATGGAAGTTTATCCTGCTCCACTTTAGCCTGATTCAAAGGAAATAAGTGAGGAAGGAAGAGCACATGCAGGCGAAGGGATAAGTCAGCATCGAAAGTTTCGGATTTCAGTGACGCATTGGAAGTTTAGGTTTGTTGCAACTAATTAATTAGACGTATGATCCTTTGATAGGCTCATCCTCTCGCCAGTTCTGAAACAACACCTGGTTGCCTTAGAGAACGACATTCTCATTTAGGCTTCAGAAACTGGTTCGCTAGAACTTGTAGAAGTCGCACAAAGGATGTTCAACGTTGAAATACTTGCATTTATACTGTCTTCTGAAGAGTAAATGGAAAAGTACAGCGTAATGTACGAAGAAGTCAATGGGTGAAAATGTAGTTGGGAGGGGTGCCAGGCCCTTTTGTGCTCTGCGTCGCTTCAGTCTTACCTCATCTAATCATTTCACCCATCCCGGAGCTCCTCCCCTTCTGAAAGTTAGGGAAGGAGCTCCGGGATGGGTGAACTAGTTGGATGTTCAATTCTTACCCCATCCCATCTTTTTGCACGAGATAATCATCTCTCCCAGCCCGGAGCTCCTCCCCTAACTTTAAGAAGGGGAGGAATCCATCTCTGCGATCTCTATGCATTCTGCCACCGTGTCAGAGACGCAGAGCACAAAAGGGCGCTGGCACCCCCTCAACTACATTTTCACCAGTCAATGTCCATTTTAAGTGAGTGTCTAAATAGGGCGGTCGATGCATGAAATTATAGTAAAAGCAGAAGGCGATTCTGCTAAACGTTTTGTTCTGTTCCTTTTGAAGTCGAAAAAGTGTGAACGCACACCTACAGCGACGCGCGAGTCCTAAGGGAACTTCTAACCGCGCCTATATTCGCCGAACGCAGCGACAAAATCAATGCTAGCATAATTTACCGCAATGGATGTCGGTCGGCGAAGTATGACTGTGTACGGCATGAGCCAAATGGAACAAAAAATACCAAAATAAAATGCTCAAAAAACCCTTATATCAGCCATCTGAACAGTCAAATAAAATGATCGTCAGGTCCTCATATAAATTTGGTAGAAACTCACCAGCTTCTTCTGGCTTGGACGCTTGATGGTTTTATATGAGTAGAAAACAGGTATCAGAGCACCGACAACAGCTGAGGCGAAATGACAGATCAGTGAGAACATCGGTACTGAAATACAGATGTCAAGTTACAGCTCCACAGCGATTCAGTCGGAGAAAGAGATTTCTAAGCTCGAAAGAACACCAACCGAAAGGAAGTAGTAGGTTTAAATAGGACTATACCCGATGTTGGTACAGTCCTGCCATTGATAGAGATAACGAGAATTATTCAACAGTAGGTAAATGAGGTCAAACAGACAAATCATCCGATCGTCCAAAAAAAGTCAGGATGAGGAAAATTCCAACTTTGAGGAATGCAAGGTGCACCGAAAATTTGAATTTTTACTTTCGCGGTTAAGAGAATGCATACTGGAGCGCGTTTTCTCGCGAATTTCCCGGATTTGTTTGTCCCATTGATTTTGTTGTGACGTTATTATATTGAACTAGACTCTCTCCTTTTCTTGTTTACTTGTTTTTTACGCTTATTGGTGGTTGAGCTTAACAAAAGATCTAAAAAGTGATCAGTTGATGTATGACTTTTGCTGTGGAGGTTACCACTTCAACCGACACTTTCATAGTCACTGATGTAAAAGCCATTAAAAATCTTTGTTGACTGGAACGAAATCTTTATCTCATTCAGATTTTGAAATGAAATCGAAGGAAATCAATTATGTTACGACCATAATTTCAACCCACATGAAGAATTACTACCTCTTGTGGATTACAACTATGTGGGTGAAAATAGAGTTCGGGGAGTGGTTAGTTTTAAATTAAATCTTCAAATTAATATTTAATTAAGATAATAAATTAATAATAAAATTTTAAATAAATCCAGTTTCAGTAAGCCTATGCAGGGTAGGAGCAGCTGTGTGGGTGGGATGATTACCTCAGACAAAAAAAAACGAAAGAAAACTTGCCCA